AAGCAGAGGAGAGTGGTCTGGGGAGCTTTTGCAAATAAAAGGCCAGGGCCCCCTTCCAGCCAATGATATCACAGCTATCATATCCATTTGCACGTACTTGAACCTTGAGATAGTCCCACGGTCTACCCCCATCATCTTGGAAATAACCTAACAACAGCAAACCCCAGGAACGAAGTCTGGGGGAGACATCAGGGGCTGTAAAGCTGGCTCAGTGGTTAAGAGCACTGGCCGCTCTTCCAGAGAACCCGAATTTGATCCCCAGCGCCCACGTGGTGACTCAAAAGCACCTGCCACTCCAGCTCCAGGGAACCCATACCCTCTTTCACCTCCACAGGTACCTAGCACACGTGTGGTGCTCATACCTACGAACAGGCAAAACACAAATGCGCACATAAAATAAGATAATAAAACAAATCTCTTTTTAAAAACTACTTCTAAACCGGGCGTGGCAAGGGATATCTGAGTTCAAAGCTAGACTGAACCACACAGCAAGAACCTATCCCCTCCACCTCCAAATTCATGTGTAAGGTGGTAAGATCCACTGATTTAAAACTGCCAGATCTCTTCCAAGAGGCAAAGATTTACATCTTTACATCTCTGAGGGAGATTCTTAATTTAGTTAGAGCAAGTTAGGAGCAGACCAAGCTCTGTTACTAAAATGCTGTCCAGACGGCAAGGCCAAAGGTTAGAGGCAGCCCAAGAAGCAACTTGGAGACACCAAAATTGTCCCACAGTCTCTTGAAAGTCTGTCTCGGCACTCTCAAATTATTTTCCAAGTTTCCAGTATTTCTGAGAACATGCTTCAAGTGGGCAGGAAGTATCTGAGCAAGCTCTTTTATCTTTTATTAACAGAGGATGTTCGAAAAGATAAGATACTGCAGGAATCTGAGGGCACAGGAGCTCCGCGTAAGCCCAAGGAGAGAAGACTCGGCAACGCTCCCATGCTGGAGGACACAGAGGACATCTGTAGGAGCCTCGGTCCAGCCAGTTTTCTGCATACACAGACACTGGAGCATGATTTTCCTGGCACTGGGAGACTCATTCCCCAGGCCTGAGAACATCCTCTCCAGCCTGACTGAGGCTGCGGCTGCACTCAGCTGGAAGAGGGGCAAGCTGTGGTCCCCAGTGCATTTGAATCTCATAATTGGAATGATGGTTCTCATTGTCTTGTTTTATTCTCTTCTAAGTTAAATTCATGAAGATGTGTTCTTCCATAGTGAGCATGAGACATTTGGTACTCTGAGAGCCTTGCAATTTCTAGGTCACGTGGTCAGCGTACTGCCAGAGAAAGATGCCAGAGTCTTCATTAATGAAGATAGCTATATGAGTGAAACACCTGCTGGCAAGCCTGAGGACGGGAGTTCGATCCCCAGGACCCTCAGAGTGTAATGAGAAAGCTAACTCCTACAGTTTATCCTCTGACTTCTACATATATAATATAGCATATGCACACCCTGACCCTATAAACATACAGAATAAATGAACACATGTAATTTTAACAATTTAGTAATAAAGAGAAGGCTTATTCCCTCAGCCTTCCTGCACTAACCTCAGGGAAGGCTGGCTGCCGTGGTCCACAATTGCCTTTCCCAACAATGTGACTCAGTTGTTTTCTGACTAGGGTCTGGCTAACTTATCCTGTAAAAAGAGAAACAGCCAAGATTTCAGGCTCTGTGAACTTCCTCTGTCTTACAGTCTTCTTCGTTGCTATTGTTTACAGCCTGAAATACGTTTTAAATCTTGTCTGGCTCCAGGAATATTAAAAAAAAAAAAGACTGTAAACTCAGTGAAACTGTGAGCCTTGGTCCGCTAAGCACAGCCTGGGACCAGGTTGGCACCCATGCTAAGGCATACGTTTCCTGCCAGAGGGAGTCGAGGGACCAGGGAGAAGTTAGAAGTCGTAAGCATATGGAGAAGGATGGCTGGGTGGGCAGCATCTCAGTCCTGGACCTTGGGTTTACCCTCACTTTAGACCGAGCGGCTACTTTGGTTTGTTTGGACCAACAGGAAGAATGAGAGGCCAAGTATCACAGTTTTCCCCTTTAGAGGAAGGACTGACATCTTACTGTCACTGGGTTCTCAAGCTCCAGGATGCCCTTCTAGAACATGAGCCATTGTGGGCAAAGTGTCACCTAGCCTTCCTCGTACTACCCTGGGAGCACCAGGGCGAGGGACAGATGGAAGAGCCAAAGGAGACTCTCTGACCACTGCCATCCCTTAAAGGACTGTGCCTCAGCAAACCAGGTGTCTTGTGTCTTTCTAGACCTGTGCCTTGAACAGAGGAGAGTAGAGAAGGGGCTACGGTTTAAGACAGTATGGCCGGGCTAGAAGGTTGGATCAGCAGTTAAGAGTGCTTGCTGCTCTTGCATAGGACCTGAGTTTGGGTCCCAGCACCCACCTTAGGGGACTCACAACCATCTGTAACTCCAGCACCAGGTGACTCATTGCTCTCCTCTGACCCTTCATGGGTACCTACACACATATATATATATACAGACAGACGAACACTCATGGGCACCTGCTCTCTCTCTCTCTCTCTCTCTCTCTCTCTGTCTCTCTCTCTCTCTCTCTCTCTCTCTCTCACACACACACACACACACACACACACTTAATCATAAAAAATAACTCCAAACATCCTGTGCCACCTTAAGACTTGCTTTGTGTTGATGAGAGTTTTAAATCATTCTTAGGTCTCTTCCTAAAGACATCTGAGAACACTGTGGGCAGTTGAAAGCATCCACTAAACTGGGCTTTGTCTTTATGACTGGCTCAGAATCTACAACAATTCCTGTCACCTTGTAGACAGTACAGAGGGAAGAAGAGAGAAAAAAGAATGGAGGGGTGGGAAGGAAAGGACAAAAAAGGAAAAATGCAGGGAGGGAAGGAAGGAGAGAAGGAAAGAAGGGAGAAGGAAGGAGGGAGGAGAGGGAAAGGAGAAAAAGAAGAAAGGATAGACAAGGAGGGGAAAGGGAAGGAAGGAAGGAAGGAAGGAAGGAAGGAAGGAAGGAAGGAAGGAAGGAAGGAAGGAAGGGAAGGGAGGGGAAGGAGGAAAAGGGAGGGGGAAGAAAGAGGAAGACAAGGTGAAAGGAGGAAGTGGAAGAAGGAATGGAGGAGGGCAGTGGAGGGGAAAAAAGAAGGGAAGAGGAACAAGGGGAGGAGGAGAAGAAAGTGAGAAGGGGGGAAGAGAGGGGAAGGAAGCAAAGGTTGGTCTTGTTGGTGCAGGAAACCCTGCCATAAGGATGTCCATGACTGCTCACATTTTCCAAACACAAGCAGTCAGCCTTCCCCAGCCTGTCCCTTTAAAGGAGTGTATGGCCTTGCTGGGGTTCTTTCCTACCCCGGCTATGGCCTGAGCTACAGCAGGAGGTGCCCTTTAGAACACTGACGCGTGTTCTGATTTTGCAAGGACCCTCCCGGAGACCCACTGGCGCTGCTGGGGCAGGCTGTCATCATGCAGTGATCCAAAGCGCTGACAGGCTCTGCGGGCAGTCACAATAACAAGTTACTTTGCGTGAGCCGCTACGGTCTGCATGGATAGTGAAGCATACAACAAAGTCATCGGGCCCCAGATGAAGTGTCAGTTAGGAGGATGCTGGCAATAAAAGCCTGCCTCGGAGCAAGGACAGATGCTTTGAAAGCATTCAGCAGGAACGCTCACTTGGAGAACATGGGATTTGAAGCAGGACCATTCTGTTCTTTTTCTTTTTTTGAGGTTTATCTTATTATTTATTTGTGTGTGTGTGTGTGTGTGTGTGTGTGTGTCCGTGAAAGCCAGAAGAGGACATCAGATCCTCTAGAACTAGAGTTACAGGCAATTATGAGCTTCCCAATGTGGGTGCTGAGACCGGAACCTGGATCCTGTGCAAGAGCATCAAGCACACCTAACCACTGAGCCCCCACCCCCATAGTTATTTTCTGAATTGTCTATGGAGCCTTGGAGCAGGGTCACTCACAGGCAGAGCAGATGGAAGTCTCGGAGCAGGAGTGGAGCCACAAGTCCTGTGTTAAGGACTAGCGCCACCAAACAGGACAGCAGAGCTCCCTGCTGACTCCTGACTGAGAACACGCGGTGCTGGAGCCTCCACCCCAGATGGGACAGCCCAAGTGGGCAGGGCGGTCTCTCAGATACAAGGTTTTCTAAACACCAGAGCTCAGTTCTCTAGGGAGCTTAAAAATGGTTTAAAGTTTAAAGTTGGAGGCTCGGATTCTGTCATGGGACTTGGGAATATGCATTTTTAACACCTCCCTGCAACTTTTATATGCAACCATGATTTGGTATGTATGTACCATGTACTATTTGAGGAGTTAATAAGACTGCCTTGTTTGTTTGTTTGTTTGTTTGTTTCATTTATTGCAACTCGGCTACTCATGTAAACTTGAGATCTGTCCCAACCTCTGCCAATAGCTCCAAACACTGACCTGATCACCTCCGTAATAATGAGGACGCATTAGGAGCTAGAGAGAACAGAGGAAGGGTGCCTTTCTCATGATTGCCACATTATCAGAAAGGGTTGTTAGCGTTGTGACAGACACTGTCACCCTAAACACCCACAAGTGAGAGGCTTGGCCTCTGGCTCTGGTGCATAAGTGGGGTTGGGACCTTCGGGAAATAAGGTCTAGTGGAAGGAAATTAGACAGGTCAAGATGTTGAAGGGGAGAGGAGGATTCCAGCTGCTTCCTGGCCACCTTCTCTACCACACACTGTCACCATGATGCCCGCTGCTACCAGTACGTGAAAGCCCCAGTGTGGCCAGGAGACAATGGGCAGACATGTGACGCCACAGAGAGAACCGCAGAAACGCACCCTTGTGGAAGGACGCTTAAAAAAATCCCACACTAGCTCAGAATTGAGAAATAGATGGTTGTTTATTTAGGGGTAGACTCACAAATCAGAATCCTCTGCTGGAACTGAGATCAGAAACCGAATCCCACAACCGGAAAAGAAAGGCCGAAAAAGAGGCATGACGCATGCTCTCCATGGGTATATATAAGAGGCCACGCCCCAGTACCCTCCCTCCTCTAACTTGGTCATATGAGAGGTTTTGCCAGCCACGGCAGCAAAGCTAACTAACACAGAACTGTGGATTCTTAAGAATTCATAGGGCAGGAGGTGGAGTTAAAGGAGAGAAATAGTAAAGAGGAAGAGGGGAGGAAGCAAATGAAAGAGGAAGGAAGTGGAGGAGAAAGGGAAGGAGGAAGGAAAGGAAGGAGGGACAGTGGGAAGGAGAAAGTGGAAAAGTGATGGCAAGAAGGAAGACATTAGATAAAAGTTGGCATAAGCCGGCTTTTGTCTGTAACCTGTGCCTTGGATCTCTGAAGATCACAGTTCATGAACCACTGGTGTGAGAGCTTTGCGTGGCCCACTCACTCTTGAGTAAACTGAGCATCCAACCATGACAGTGTCCTTGTCCAGATTCCCCAGGCAGGACTCCGTCACTCCCCTTCTCCCCACGGACAGGCGCTCGCCCTCTCTGTGAACCCAGCCTTCCCTCCCCAGTCGTGTTGTGCCCTGGTGAACCCCGGGGCTCAGACAACTGGATTCCCGTGCTTTCCACGTGTTCTTTCCAACTTTCCCAGGAGCCGTGCTGTCCCGGTGTTAGTGACAACTGGATTCCAGTGCTTCCACATGTACTTTCCATCCTTCCCAGGAGCCGTGCTGTCCCAGTGTTAGTGGCTGACATCGGAGGAGCAGTGACCAGGGACGGGGAACAAAAAACATCTCAGTCAGAAAGGAAACACGAGATTAAGGAAATCATAGAAGAGTCAGCTTCAGGCTTCCCAGTACTTTAACCTTGCTAAAGACCTGAACGTTCCTGAAAAGAAACCCATGATTGGCGCTTATCCCAAGTCCATTTGGCAGCAGGCCCTTTTCTGGGGTGCATCTGGGTTAGTGGCATGTGTAGCACACTTGTGGGTTCACCCAAAGGGTATGCATCAGGCATGTCCTCGCAGGAGGCACTGCCCTGAGCACCGGCTGAACACCACCCAAGGGCTCTTACTCAGCAGACATGTCCCCTTTGGGCCGGAGCCCAGGTCCTGTTTTTTATCTTTTCCTCTGCCTCCCTCCTTTAGTGTCTTCTCTTAGTCAAGACAGCTAAAGATCCTATGGGGGCAAGGATGCTTCCTGACAGGACTTTGGCCTGGTTCCCATGCTTAGGACTTCAGGGGAACCTTTGCCATCATTCAGCTGACCTCTTAGGCAGTGCTGCCCAGGCTGAACCATCGGGAATCTAGCAAAGCTTGCCTCTGTCTGCCATTCGGCCCTATAAGCCTCCCTAAGCCAAGCTGCCTCCTCATGGGATGCTCACTGCAATGCTCTCCTCAATTCTCACCCTCTTCCTTTCTCTCTGATTCAACCCAGAGTCAGTCCCATTGAAACAGTCTTACAGACGCCTACGCCTGGTTCCATGGGGTTTTCTCACCTGCCAGTCACCACAGCCCCTCCTCAGAGATTTATAGTTAGCTCAGATTCAACCCATCATGACACAAACTTGGGTAAGGAAGATGCACCGTGATCAGCTACACGGGAAAAAAGAAACAAAAATCAAGGCCTGTGTGAATGTTCTCTTTCCTTACATGCTCCAGCTGTTTGTTGTCACCCTCTAGGCCTGGCCTTCCTGAGCAGCCCTGGGTCTTACCATGGTCTTACCCTTTCCTGTGCGAGCATCGTGGCCCCTGCACTCTACAGAGAAGACTAGCTTTGCTACCAAGGCGTGGCCCATTTGACCAAAGACCAGCACTTCAACCAAAGTACCTATCACAGGCTGGGCACATGAGCAGCCACCACTTCCAAGCCACCTTGGTCCACCTTCATAACCAAATGTTGGCTTTACAGTGAAGGGCACAAATTGATCCACATGAGGGACAAGCTCCAAGTTGGCTTCAGAGAGTATGGAAGAGCAGAGTGATTGGTACAGGGGAGAAGGAGGAGTCACAAAGTGTCAACAAGAGGAGAAAGGCCATGTGGTGTGGATCAATGGGGAAGATGCAAGGCCTTCCGGGTAGCTAACTTCTTTCTCCTTTGTAGCAGTGGGTGTTAGAAGGTAGCATCCGCTCTGTTTCCATGGTGAGGGTGCAGGGAAAGTCTACCACAGCTGCAGGTACTGTGTGGGATTCCAAAGTCAGGAGGGTGTTGGGGAAGGCAGCTCTGGCTGGATTTATCAAGAGCTCTGGGAAGGGTGCAGCTGTGGGTGACGTGTGTACTTGCACGTGCTTGGCTATGGGTGACGTGTGTACTTGCGCATGCTTGGCTGTGGGTGATGTGTGTACTTGTGCATGCTTGGCTGTGGGTGAAGTGTGTACTTGTGCATGCTTGGCTGTGGGTGACATGTGTACTTGCGCATGCTTGGCTGTGGGTGATGTGTGTACTTGTGCATGCTTGTCTGTGGGTGACATGTGTACTTGCGCATGCTTGGCTGTGGGTGATGTGTGTACTTGTGCATGCTTGGCTGTGGGTGACATGTGTACTTGCGCATGCTTGGCTGTGGGTGACATGTACACTTGTGCACATCTGTTATCTTTGTTACTTGAATGGTCAGCAGGCAAGAGGTGGCCACATTTCTGGATAAGGCATGATTGGTTAACAGTATTCACACAGAAGCTGGGTTTCATGGGAAAAAAAGAGACATCACACCACAGAAACTAGATATGTTTCCATGTCTGCAGAGACTGAAACAGGCAGGGGGTATGGAAATACCACTATGACTTGAATATGTCCTCCATAAACCAAATATTGAAAACACAGTCTCCATGCAACAGAGCTGGAAGATGGGACCCTCATGAACAAGTTAATATTGTTGTTACTGGCGTGGTTTTGCCCTAACAATAAGAATTTGGGGACTCTGGCTTTCACACCTTATCTCCTCTCTCTCCTTCCCACTCTCTCTCCTCTGCCTTTCCCCATCTCCCCTCTTTGTTCCCCATTCCCTTCTTGCCCTTCCATCTTCTACCACGGATGACAGACTCACAACACCCTCGTGGTATTGCTGCCTTGAGCTGGACTTCTAGGCCTCCAGAATTCTGAAGAAATGATGTCTATTCTTTCTAAGTTCTTAGGCAATCTGTGACACTCTATCCTAGCGTCACAAACAGACCACAGCAGATGCGGATGAGCCTGAGGAAGACAGACGCAGTGTATAAAGATTCTTCCTACTGCTTTGGGCAGTGAGCAGACAAGTATTTACATTCTTCTGAGAAATATTTCCTACCCTCCAACTTGATATTTTCCACGGCCCATCCCTCTTTAGAAATTGCAGATATTAGATGCGGCGTCCAGTTGCCAAATGGTTAGTGTTGTGGTTTGAAGCTCAAAGTTCTCCGCAGACAGATGTTTGGAGTGCTTGAGTCCAAGCTTCAGCATGTTTTTGAAAGTCTGTGGAACCTTTAGGAGATCGCGTCACAGAAGCAAGTCAGTGGATGCAATCTGTTGAAGGTCATAGTCCAAACTGGCTCCTGTCCTGCTCTCTTTTTCCTCTGCATGCTCCCCCAGCCATGCCTTCTCCACCCTGGTGGAATGGCTCTCTGGTACTGGGAGCCAAGGCAAACCCTTCTCCCTTAAGCCGTTTCTGTCAGGTGTCCTGGACAGTGACATGGTCCTGTAGAAGGCTCTGCGGCCTAAGTACAGGATAGGGTTGCAGGATGACGTGAAAGAGAAAGGATATTTGGTGGCTCTCAGCCCACAGCTCGGGTTACTGCGAAGTCCTATCTATATCCTTGCCCTTGGGATTTAGATAGCCTAACTTCCTAGAAGAGCAGATCATAACTTCCCATCACATTTCTGTCCAGCACATTTTACATGAACCCCCAGAGAAAGGGTCCAAGCGCCTGGTGGAAGCAGCAAATACATCTAAAGCTGGAGGAGCCTGGACTTTTGACCTAGTGTGATCATGGGAAGCAGACATCTAAATGGTCTTGGGAGAAAGCAGGCTGTAGGAAGTTCCCCAACACCGGAAATCCTCCTCAGTGTTGGTGACAGAGTGACAGGGAGAGCTGCCACAGCTCTTTGGACTGGAATTGACCTTGAAACACATCAGAAAGCCAAGGACATTCATTGTGACCCAGAGTGATCTTTAATTTTACCCAATGGAGAGAGTTTACCTAGCATTTAAAGAAAATAATAAATTAGACAATTCAACCAGCAAGCAGTTCACCAGCAAGTCCCGTCCTCGCTTGCGGCTGTAACCCACCCAGCGCAGGAAGCACTGAGGGCTCCTCCCTGTGGCCCTGGTGGTGAGCTGGAGCATCTGGCATCCAGGGAAAGCTGATCACTGGGAAGTAAGCCCTGGAGAGGCGCCATTGACAACAGAAGCCAAGAATGTGTCCAAGTCCGGAGGCGCAGCACGGCTCATTAGCCAACAGCCTGTGTTTCCTAACCACCTATGCAAATATTTGGGCCTCCTTCTCCCCCTGCGATCCAGCATGATGATAAACGTGTGGGAAATGTATAGTTATCTAGGCAAAACTTTTCCTTGTACCGATCTTTCCTTGAACTAATATCCTTGACAGCTAATAGCTAGAAAAACGAGGAATCAATAAAAAAGAAAGACAGAAAAACAAAGAGTCCCTGAGAACAATGATTTCCCACCCCCTTCAGAGTCTCTTAGATTAAGAAAAAAGTTTATGTATGGTCTCATCATTCCGTAGCATATAGAATCATCACCAATTCGTGAACCCAGGGCTTCCAAAGAAAACACCTGTGCCGAACTAAAGAAGTCAAGAGAAGCAAACACATTAGTTCATTGGCCTCCCAACTGGCAATTTAACTTGCTGCACCACGAGAGCAGGGAAACAACCTGAGTCAGGCAGGGAAGGCTGTTTCTTACACAGAAGTAACAAAAGAGCCCTAAGACTTGGTGGTTGTGGTAGTTGAGTAGGATTGACTCCCTAAGACTCAAAACTAGAATGCTTGGTCATTAGGGAGTGGCACTACTTGAGAGAGATTAGGAGGTGTGGCCTTGTAGGAGTGGGTGTGGCCTTATTGGAGGAAGTGGGAGTGGGCTTTAGGGTTTCAGAAGCCCAAGCCAGGTCCAGTGGTTCTCTCTTCTTGCTGTCTGTGGAAACAGATGTACAACTCTCAGCTCCTCCAACACCACATCTGTCTGTGTGCCGCTGTGCTTTTCATGATGCTGATAATGGACTAAACTTCTGAACTGTGAGCCAACCCCAGTTAAATTCTTTCCTTTATAAGAATTGCCCTGGTCATGGTGCCTCTTCACAGCAATAGAACATTGACTATGACAGTGGCTTAAGCAAATTTGAATCCTTTGTTCCACATCTAACATAAACTGGCAGGTGCTCCACTTACCACTGTCACTTAGTGTAGGCTGAGTCTCTACGCAGATAATCTCCAATAACCCACTCTAAGTGCCAGAGAAATAATGTAGGGACTATCACATAGATTCTTACTCTTTCCATCTAGAAAAAGTACATACCATTTATGCTTCATCAGCCAAAGTCAATCTCTGTGAGTTCGAGGGCAACCCGGTCTACAAGAGCTAGTTCCAGAACAGGCTCCAAAGCTACAGAGAAACCCTGTCTCGGAAAAAAAAAAAAAGTGAGTGTTTCCACCTCAGTTAACATAACTCAGAGAATTCCTCACAGACATGCACAAAGATTTCTCTCATATGTGATTCTAGCCCCTACAGATTGAAACTAAGACTAAACCACAAGTGTATGAAAGTCCTTCCCTCCAATAACATAATATTCAGGGGTGGGATCTTGGAGAGGTCATGAGTGGGTTATGAGGGTAGAGTCCCCCCGAGAAGGACTAGTGCTGGCATGAAAGGGGTTCTTGGAGGTCCTCACTCATGTTCCACCATGTAAGGCTAGATTGAGAGCTGGCAATCTGCCTTCCAGAAGAGCGCTTGCCAGAACCAACTCTGCCTGATCTGACTTCCAGCCTTATGGTGTGTTGTCATAGCAGCCTGAACTAAGATGAATATCTAGGAAAAGAATCACATCATTTTAAAAGAAGTGCAGAAAAGATTTCCAATTCTGAATTAATCAAATGAATTATCACTCCATCATTGGTTTTCCCAAAGCGATAAATCATATGAGAAGTTAATATAAAAGCTAACATTTTTCTTTTTTCTTCTTTTTTATTGTTTTTCTTGAGCTATACATTTTTCTCCACTCTCCTCCCTTCCTCCCCTCTCCACTTCTGCCCTCTCCTGTGATCCCCACGCTCCCAATTTACTCAGGAGATTTTATCTTTTTCACCTTCCTATGTAGATCCATGTATGTCACTCTTAGGGTCCTCTTTGAAGTCTATTTTCTCTGAGATTGTAGCCTGTAGACTGGTTTTTCTTTGCTTTGTGACCAAAAGACACTTATGAGTGCACACATATTATATTTGTCTTTCTGAGTCTGGGTTACTTCACTCAATATGTTTTTTCTAGATCCATCTATTGGATTGCAAATTTCAAGATGTCCATTTTTACCACTGTGTAGTACTCCCTTGTGTAAATATAGCACATTTTCTTTATCCATTCTTTGGTTGAGGAGCATCTAGGCTGTTTCATTTTTCTTATCTGGGACATTTATGTTCTGAATTTTTAAAACCTGTAAGTAGGCCAGGAGGAAGGCTCAGTGGGTGAAAGTGTTTGCTCTCTGGTGATGCAAGTCTGAGGACCAGAGTTCAATTCTGGAACCCATGTACAGGTGAAAGAAAGGAACTGAACCCACAAAGTTGTCTTCTGACCTCCACACTAGCACCAGGGCAAATGTATGCACATGTGTACATACACACATGCACACACATGTGCACACACATACACACATATATACAATAGCAATAATAAATGATTTTAACTGGCAGTGGGTCTCTGCTATGATGTTGTTATAGCACTTCACTCCTATTCCTTCCAGATGAAGGTACAGTGGCCTACATCTGTAGTCCCAGCACTTGAGGCAGAAGCAAGTGAATCTTTACAAGGTGGAGCCCAGTCTGGTCTACATAGGGAGTTCCAGGCCATCCAGGGCTATGTACAGAGACTCTGTCTCAAAAGCAAAAAAACATTCCTGTGGGGAATGTTTAAGGTCACAGACAGGAGGAACAGAATAGATCTAAGAAACAGTGTTTCTGGCACCAAAGGACTCTGAAGTGGACTCACGTTTCAGAAACTCCTGAAATGCGTATTTTTCAAAGTAACAAGAGTCACTGTGTAAATGAACTTGGAAAAGCTTCTGCTAACAGAAAAGATGGTGTGGTTTACGTGATGCACATCTGTCATTATTGGTTTTTGTTTTAATCAGATTACATTGACATCACTTATTACAATTTAGCCATCCAAGCTACCTTGCCCGGTCACAAAACTTTATAAAGTGTTAAAGACATTTGGATAGAGATCAAGTTATTTGTGTTCTCTCTGTGTCTCCATCTCTGTCTCCCTCTCCTGTTCTCCCTCTACCGCTAAGGCATTATCCCCAGCCCACATTGAAACAGCTTTAAATAGCAGACCTTTTACTCAGTACATACAATGCTTAAAATAAATGAGACATCTCTCCCTAGACTCTCAGTGTTAACGCTCTATACTTAGCTCGAACATAGAAGACTTCAGAATCACAAAGGGTTTGACCCCAGAACAGTCTAAAATCTGCCCTAGACAGAAGCAGATGCCAATTAACTCAGCATTTCCACACTATTCCTAGGCTCGACATCTCGGAAACTTTTCACGTCCTTCTCTATGACCTTTTGAGAGAAATTCCAAGAATGTTCAATAAAGCAGGCTTTGAAAGCTGCTCTCTTTATCTCTGCTGTCCACTTGGACATCACCAGGGAGTAATCATAGTTCAGCACTGGCCCTCACAGCACACCACAGGGACAGCATCTATGGGCTTAACTGATCTGAGGGGCCCAGGGCAGAGGAGGGAAGTGTTTATGGGGCCTCATTAACAGTACTAAGACTTCTCCCTCCACACTGCTCCTCCCTTCAAGAATGGCTTTAATGTTGGCTTTTTTATATTGCTAGGCTCAGGAAAGTCAGAGACATCTCCAAAGACACAAATTGCTCTAAATAAGTCTTTGGAAACAGAATTTTTTTTGGGGGGGTGAACTTTAAACAGAGGCATCAGCTGGCAAATCCCCTCTGGAGCAGTCACCAGTTTGGGCTCCCAGAAGTCTCACAGATAAAATTCAAACAAATACGTACTCACAGCTGAGGGTCAAATTCACAGGAGAGAAGCTTCTATGAGCATGCCTTTAAAGAAACAAGAATAACATTCTCGAGCTTTGTGTTAGCTACTTCTCTCCTTTGCTGGGAGAAGCAGTCCGAGAGAAGAAAGGCTTACCTACGTTCACAGTCGGAGGGTGGCCCTCTGCCCTGGCAAGAGGAGGCATGCATGCAGGACTAGCTGACCATGACAGCAGGTTAGGATTGGCCATCTACAATAGAGGAAACATGAGATGGAGAGATAGACATGCGGCAGTAGAAAAAGCAGGCTGTGGCCAGGGATGGGCATATATTTAAGTATCTTCAGTATATGTACTGGTCCCAATCCCAACAACTAGACCATGCTTCACAAGGACTCCAAGCCTCCCAGAGTTCAAAACACAAGCCCACTAGGGGAGGAAAAATTTAAGATTTAAGAGAGTAGACATTTCCTCATGAAGCCTGTAGTAAGGAGGCTGCTTATTGGTTCCTGGCTGCTCATCCCTGAGTTAATCTCACAGAAATTGTATTATTTAAATCACTGCATGGCCCATTAGCTCTAGCTTCTTATTGGCTAACTTTTACATGTTAATTTAACCCATTTATATTAATCTATATATCACCACGTGGCAGTGGCTTACCAGCAAAGTTTCAGCATGTCTGACTCTAGCAGTGGCTCCATGGTGTCTCCCTGACTCTGCCCTTCTTTCTCCAAGCATTCAGCCTAGCTTTCCCTGCTCACCTAAGTTCTGCCTTGCTATAGGTCCAAAGCAGTTTCTTTATTCATTAATGATAATCACAGCACACAGAGGGGACTCCTATATCACTTCCCCTTTTCTGTTTAAATAAAAAGGAAGGCTTTAACATAGTAAAATTACATATAACAAAAGTTATCAAGCAAGAATTACAGCTACAATATTTATATCTATTTTATATTTTATCATAATTAAGGGAAACTATAACTATAACCATTTATTCTTCAACTCCATCAAAGACTCCAGAAGGATGTAATATTACCTAAGTAAACAGGAAGTACATTTTAAGCAACTATTAGAACTCTAGAAATAACAGAGACATCTTGCTGCCTGGACAGTTACCCAAAGTTCTTCTGTACCATCTCCAGCCTACAGGCCCATAGTATCCAGCAGACTTTTTCATCAAGCAGGAAATTTCAAAGACAGGTCTACTTATATTAGCAGTTTGTCAATCACTTTCTTCTGTGTCCTGCAGAATGTCTGGCAGACTCTATCATGAAGCAGGAACCCTGAAGGATGGTCTCACCTTTAGGCAAGTTTAGCAGTCATTTCTCTGTAGGTCCTGCATGTCCAGTTCAGCATTCCAGGCAGGACCATTTTCTTGCCCAAATGGCTAACAAACTCCATAAAAAGCCTCTTCAATGCCCATCTTCCTCTTGAAGTAACTGGTGCTGCCAGGAGCAAATGTGTCTCATTGTCATGAAAAGTCTTAAGTTCTTAAACATTTTAAATGCCATATTCTGAAGGTCTCTGAAAGATCTGAAGAATACCTATCTAACTGAAACATATCTCTATACATCTAGAAAATCTAACTAACATGACTACAAGTTTGACTATTATAGATGATTATCTATTAACTTATATTTCTTAATTATACATTACATTTTTAAATGAGCTGCACAAACACAATACCTTAATCAAGAGCAGAAATATACATATAACAAAATTGACCTAAAACTTGTACCAATAAACCAATATCCATACCAATGCAAATCTCTATAGTTTATACCCCTTTAAATGTAAACAAACAATTATAAACAATATTTAGGAATATGGGCATAATTCTGCTTCTTGCTGTTTGGGGGCACTATTAATCAGGTCTTTCACGGTGTATCTGTGGGCTAGGTTCATCTCAGTCAGCAGTTGGGCAAAGTAATTTCCTAAAGGTGTTCACGGCAACCTTTCAGGGGGTCACACCAGTCTAGAAGCAATCCATAGGTTCTCATCCTCTATGGAAACAAGAGAAGAACCTCTTTTCCAAAGCAACATATCCTTAGATCCAAATTTGGAAGTCATGATACCTTTATAATATACATGCTGGCTTAGCTTAGCAGCCCATACAATAAAATATCTTTCTGTACTTAGCTCATTCACAGTCATAAAAATTTAAAGAAAACACAATAATATACATTATCCAGACTCTCTGTATATATTCCATGTTTACATGGCTTATTTTTTTACTCCTTTTAATCTATGACTATCTGTACTCTGTGTCTTTAAAGACTTTGCCTTTTTAAGTATTAACTTTATTTTATGACTATACTTTTTTTTTCTCTCTCTTCTAAGCCTATGTACATTTATCCAATACTGTGGCTCATTTGGAGTTCTTTTCCATCTGGATTTGCCTTTATTGCATATCTGTAATTCTTTATTGTCCAGGAGAGCTTTTTAAAATACTAAGCACTTTTTAAAACTTAAGCTGCAGCATTACTAGGTCAAATATGGTACTTCCTGCTTGCCTGCCCAGTCCACCATGGTGGAACAGCTTGCACCTCCGAGAGCCATGCCCACAGCCCCATTTTCAGGCACACAACCAGTCTATGCCATCATTAAGCAAGCTGGAGCAGTGTGCTCACAAACCCCACTCAAATGCTCTGTAGCTGGACCTCCTGCCTGAAAGAGTCAGAGTCTGCACTGGCAGGACAGTCCAGAAATCTGGATTTTTAAAACAGTACAGCTCTTTTCCTGCTACTACTGAATCAGGAAAACCTCTCTTAATAGAGCAGCAGCAAGCAACCAGCTTTAAAAAATGCAGCTAAACTTTGTTTTTTGTGTGTCTAGAGTTCCTTTCCAAGCCCTCTCAGGTTCTACATTAATTTAGTTCACCACATTGGCATGCCAATTTGTTGGATGAGGGCTGCTTGTTGGCCCTTTTCCTTTAGCTCTTACAATCTTGCAGACCCCTCTTCCACCATGTTCTCTGAGACTTAGGTGTAGGAATGTTTATTCCAGGTATCCATTGGGAACAGGCTCTACAACGTCACATTTTCATTAGTTGTGACTTCCTGCTGTGGGCAGGAGTGGAGCATGTGGCTTCAACCTTACACAAAGAACTACACATAGCTAAGAAATGCTGAGAACTAGAGAAACAGCTGTCCCTAGGCAAGAGCACACCAATTAGTTACCAATACCAAATGGTCAGCTCTGAAAACATACATATAAGTGACATTATACAGAGTGAGTGGGTTGTACTTGTATGTTTGGAAATATTTATTTGTATGTATGTAATGGTAATTACTGAAAAAGAGACTTTTCATGAATTTGTAAGAAGGTATCTGTAATAAATGAGTTTGTAAAGGGAATTCAAAATGAAAACTCAGATAAGCATCACCCACAAGAGCACATTTTATTGTCTGAGATGGTCATCTCAAAGCCTGGATGCACTGTAACCAGGGGTGCAGGAGAATGATACAGGATCTCGATATGGGGGTATTGCCAAGGAGAGAGCAGGGTTTCATTCAGAGTTAAATTAGGAAGTGAACATTCTGTTTAGATAAGTTGTTTTCTAAAAGCTAGTGGAAGGAGGGTAGACCAGTTGTCTATGTTCATAATTCTTGGAATAGAGAGTGAAAATTAATTGTTTTTCTTTTTACCATTTCCTGGAATTTCATGAGCATAACATTCATAGAACTCTGAGCCTATTTTATGACCTTGGCTCTGGGTGGAATTTCTTCAATGACACTAACCCAAAGCAAGATGAATGAATATGAAGGCAAATCTCAGAAAAACCAATCTAGTTATGCAATGGAGACAGGACAGCAAAAATTAAAGTGTAAAAGTAGTACTAAAAATGTCAAAGAGGGGTTAGAGATATCACACTTACCAATTGAGAGCACTACTCCTCTTCCAGAGGACTCCCACATGGCAGAAAAAAAAAAACAGACGTAACTCCAGTTCCAAGGAATCTGATGACCTTTTCTGGCCTCCATAAGCAACATGCATGTACTTGATTCATGAACATTCATGCAGACAAAGCATTTATAAATATAAAAATGAAATAATATTTTTTTAATTTTTAAACAAGAATTTGGAAATAGATTTCATCAGAATCCTAGAAAGTTGGAAGAAAGGGAATGTAGATAAAGCAAAACCTGAAGATATCACTGAATTTTCTAGAACCAATGAAAGACACAATAAAGGATTTGCACAATGAATATAGTGAGATAAGTAATAAAAATTTCACATGGAAGCATAATAATACTGTGAAAGAGTCAAATCAATAGTGAACAGAGACTGACAAGAAAGACAAGGCAACTGGGACAATAGATGACTACATAGTCACATGACAGCTAGGGGAAGGCTATACTCAGAGTCTAGAAAAAAACTGAGTTAACCCAATATTGAGTTAGGCACCTGACAAAAATGACCTTTCAGGCCACAAAGATAAAAGCATGTTCAGATAAACAAAGTGGAAGAATGTCCTTCCAACATAACTTCACCAAAGAAGTTTCAAAAGGACTTAGGTCAGGACAAAGGAAAATAAAACTAGAAGAAACATCAGTGTCCCAAGGGCAACTGAGCAAGAGCATTGTTGACATGAGACAAATGGTCTAGATAAGTAACAGCAGTATTTAAATCACTCAATAAAAAGCACAACTCTTAAATAATGGGCACTATAGAATGCAAATTAAAAATGGAAATTGGTTTAAAATCTTTGTTCAGGGTGGAAGCTAAAACTTTAAGATATTGATGAATTTCAAACTTGATTAAGTATGTATGGTAAGAGTTTGTCAGTTCCAAATGAGAAAATATACAGATGAGGACATCAGTAAACACAATGAACACAGAGGCAAGGAAAAATGAATAAAATTAAATGTATGCCCTAGTGATGCTGAAGCCTGCATGGATAGCCCAGATATGGCAGTTCTGTTGAACTTGTCTATATTGGGTTTCATGGTCTAAGTTGATGAGGTCTCTTTTTCAAGAGATCTCATTACAGATGGTTGTGAGTCACCATGTGGTTGCTGGGAATTGAACACAAGACCTCTGGAAGAACAGCCAGTGCTCTCAACCACTAAACCATCTCTCCAAGAAAAAAAATAATAGAAAATCTCAAATATAGACAATTGGAGCAACACCTCTGAAAATGAACTTAAAGGACACCTGCATAACCCTCTTAGCTGTGGGTGTGGTGACAGGGTTCCTGTAATCCAAGAAGTTTAGAGGCAGAGGCAAGAGTTCAAGGGTAGCCTCAGCTACA